TGAGCTATATCCCCAGCCCTAGGATATATAATTTCAACTCCACTACTCTTGTACTCTACCTGACTCCCATAGATTTGATGATATAACACAAAGTACTTGGTCTAGCTCGTGGTGAGTTCCTTCTCCTCCTTTATCGTTAACTTTTATATCTCAATTCAACCCTCTACCATTTTTCACGTACCACACTTTACTCGTCTCCCCTTGGACTCTCTGGTAAAGTAGCAGATGCTGACAGCTCCGAGGCAGGCAGGGAGCTCAGAAAGTGAAGCATGTGGGCTTATCTTGTTAATGGAGGCCCTTTTGTTTGAGTTTTTATGATCCTACAAACACTTGGAAATGCCATAGTAGTGCCATCCCATGGGTTTAAGAAACTTTTTGGAAAACCCTCTGACCTCTTAAGTGGAGACCTCTTAATTAACTGGCTTTTATAACAAATATTTTTCTAAAGAAAATGAAATAATTTTTCTTTTTAAAAAAATCTAGGCCAAACATGGTGGCACACAGCTGTAATCTCAACACTTAGCAGGCTGAGGCAGGAGGATCACTGCAAGTTTGAGGCCAGCCTGGGCTACATAGTGAGTTCAAGGCCACTCTGAACTATACAATGAGACCCTGTTTCAAACATAGATTAAATAAGTAAATAAATAAAACCTAATGATATTTACTTTTGAAAGTCAATTATAGGGTCTGTATTTGGTATCTATATTTTTAAGTACTGGTGATTGAAACCAGCACCTTTGCACTGAGCTACAACCCCAGCTCAGTTGCTAAATTGACTAGGCTGGGCTTGAACTTGCAATATTCTTACCTGAGCCTTCCAGAGGGCTGGGTTACAGATGTGTGACACTATACCCAGCTTGGAACTAATTTCTTACCTAACACCTGTGTTACTTATGATACTTCATACATGATGATTTCCCATTAGCATACTATCAACACTGTTATTTATACCATAACTGCCACTTTCCTATGAAATAATTTGATTGATGTCTTTAATGATAATTTCAAACTATAAAATCCCCTCTCAAAATATGGTTTCAAATAATTTGCCTATCTTTCCTTGATCCTAGACAATAATTTAAAATCATTTGTCTGTTCAAGCTCCTATGTTAAATTAATGAAAGGGGAAAAACAAAATTTAATTTATTATTCTAGATTCCACTGCAGATTTAGGTTCAGAGGGAGTATCATATAAATGTGCATAAATTTGGTGTAACAATTAAAATATAGGGTCTGGGGATATAGTTCAGTACCACAAAAAAGAATTAAAACATATAAAGCTTATATTTAAGCACTTAAAAAGCATATAAAATTACTAAATATATACGTTAATTTATGTTGTTTTTAAAATAGTGTTAGTTATTTAAATTATTATGACATTCCAATCAAGTTTAATAAAGATTCTTTCTTCATTCTGATTCTCTAAAGAAATATATACTATTGCAGGAGACTATTATTGACATGATGATCTTTACATTTATATATTCCTAAAGTTAACTGTTGCTAAGAAGAAACTCTAAAAGAAAATTTGAGTTAACTCATACATACTCATTGTGATACTTCCCCTAAATAACCCACTATTTCTTTCAGAACATTTTACTTACCTTTCCCACCTTTATTTATTTCTTGAAGTAGCTTAATCCCAACTTCTTGCATATTTACAGAGAACAAATGAAGTATAATAAGCCCAAAAGATAAAAATGGTGGGTTCCCATTCCTTTCTTTAGTGAGAGATTGAATTAGTTCAGCTTGAGGACATAATGTTATTAGTTGCACCAGGTCATCTGAAAGTAAAAATGAAATCTGTATCTCAGCATCATATGATAAATCAACTAGAAGTGTACCTGCCAATCAATATTTCTGCTTCTAATCCAAACCCCTCAATGACACACTCCAACCCAATTCAACAGCACTATCCCCAAATTAAATACACACACAATATAAGAGAGATTCCTCAGTTAATGACTGGGTCCCATTCCTGTGATTAGGTCATTAAATGAATTGGTTGCTAAATGAGGATTTGTACATAGTATGTATATTACAATTTCAGAACAAAGAAATGGTCAAAGGAAACACCAACTTGATGACTTTGCTTTTATTTGTATAACTCTTACATACAGTGCTATGTAATGTATAGCAAAACATAAAACTATAGTACTGCATAGTAAAATCAGAAAAAAATACAGTACTTTATAAATAAGGTGTACTGTCCCAAAGAAAAAGACATTGAGGCAATATAGACAAGGTGTACAGAACTGCGTGCGCACACGCTCACACAAACACACACACACATTCACACACACACACACGCACACACACATACACACACACAGATGAAGCCAGGCATGATGGTATACACCTGTAATCCCAGCACTCAGGAGGCGGAGGTACGAGGATAATCATGAATTCAAGACCAACTTGGGCTACATAATGAGTTCAAGGCCAGCCTGCACTACAAAGTGAGAGATCAAGGCCACTCTTCCTCAAAAACACAAACAAAAGATGGCTGGTAAGTCTGAGGAGTGGGCTATAAGTCTGAATAGTCATTACATGGTAAGTCATTAAATGAGGAATTATTTAATGCTCAGCTTGGGAAAAAAAGAAAGAAAAAAGAAGAACAAAAAACTACCCATAACAAAGGGTATCAGAAGAAAAATCAAGTAACTGTCAGAAGTTATGATATAATTAAAGAATATAGACTGCAAACCAGGAAAGCTGAGTACTAATCATACATCCACCAAACACTTACCCTTTCTACATCTGAAGAATGCTAGAATTACCTAGAATTTCTCAAGTTCCATCTAACACTACATCGTTTGTCTATATTTTACTGCTTATGCTTCTACCAACTTCTAGGTGACTGTGTCTTCCTGTCCCATATTTTCCCCTCTAGGTATATCAACTATTTAGAAATTCCGAACTGACCATTTTAAGAAGCCACTAGCTGTGAAAAGCCAACAGCTAAAAGCCATCAGCTAGAGATGAGCTAGCTAACGCTAGAGATTGAGCATCTGCCAATAGCTAGTGATGGAGCCATATGAAGTTGCCTACATTTTACCATTTTTAACTCAAAAAGAATAAGTATGACTGGTGCAGCCATTGTGGAGATCAGTCTGGAGATTCCTCAATAAACTAGGATTAGAGATCCCGTTCAACCCAGCTATTCCTCTCTGGGTACTTTCCCAGAAGACCTGAAAGCATCATATCACAGCAATATATGTGTACTCAAGTTTATAGCAGTGCAATTTGTAATAGCTAAATCCTGGAAACAACCCAAATGCCCATCAACTGAGGAATGGATAAAAAAGATGTGGTATTTTTATACAATGGAATATTACTCAGCTATAAAGAAAGATAAACTTGAGGTTTTTATAGGTAAATGATGCAACTACAGACCATACTCACAAATTAAATAAATCAGACCCACATGTGTAAATACCATATTGTCTCACTAGTGTAAGAACTTGGAAAAGTAAAGATAATCTAAAAGGTACAACAGATATTGTGAAAGGGAAAGACTGCTCAAAAGGATAGAACAACTGGGATGAGGAAAAAGAGAAAAGAAAGAAAGAAGGGAAATAATATGTATATATGTATACACAAGATAGCTAAGATAAATGTATTACTAATTTCTGTTGCTTTAGGGAAAGGAACAGTTAATGTTTAATTGTTTGATCAATGTTGCATGACTATATTTAACTGACTAATTTGAAGATAACAATATGTTATCAGCAACCATTATTATGTATACAGCAACCATTATTAATTTCTTATCACCTTGTCTGAAATTCTGTATTGCTTTTATTGTTTTGGTGTTGTTTGTTCATGTCTGTTTGTTTGTTAATACGTTTTTGTTCTTTTATCTTTAAAATTAAAAAAGAATAAGTATTTGTGGTTTAATATACTAGAGATAACCTCAAAGTACAATTTTGACTTGTATTTTTAAATTTATAAACTTCATGTTAACTTCCAAAATTTTTCAATGTAAAAATATACTTTTTAGGGCACTTTAGAGGTAATAGTCTGGATAATTTCTGGGAGTCTTTTAAGAACTACCATATATACAATTTGCACTTTAACTGATTGGTAGAATGGATCAAGAAGCAAGATCCAATATGCTATATCCAATAAACATATTTAATTCAAAAAGAAATTCATAGACTTAAAATCAAAGGATGGAAAACAATACTCCATGTGATGGGCAGCCAGAAA